TTTACTCCCGACATCTGAGCCGCTGAACTCGCAGTGGATTACATTGTTTCTGAAGGGAATGCGCCCCCGATCTACATAAATGCGTCTATGTTCGTGCAAATCATTCGTGATCCAGCCTCATCTACAGAAGAAGTGAGTATAATGTTTTGGAATGAATATTTGCAAATCGCCTTTCCTAATAATATGCTAATTAGCAAGTTTCACGATGAATGCGGCTGAAGTAAACAGTCTCTCTGAGAGCAGCTCGGAAGAGAGGGGCGGGGTCAGCAGAGCTCATTAACATTTAAAGGAAAATGCTACAAAAACGGCTTGACCTGAAAAGAGCTGTTTTTGACAGGGTAAAAAAGGTGTTTTTTACACTACCTTTGAAAAATTTTAACCAAACTATGTTACAGACTTTTCATTAAGACCCTAAAGAATCATATCAACTTGTGGAAAATGGGCATCCTATGACCCCTTTAAAAGCCATACAGTGAGTTAATGCACATTTGTTACAATGACTAAAGTCCGTCCTGCATAATTTATCACGTATTTAACGCTTAAATAATCATTGATGTGGCTTTTACTGTTTCCTGCCTACTTCCTCAGGCTGCGGAAAGTGTGGCAGAAGAGAAAGTGTACGGTGAAGAATGGTTATTTGACCATCTCGCACGGGACGGTACGTAACCTACCTCTGACATTCTTTATGTCTGATTAGTTTTCATGTTAGTGTACATGCACTAACATATACATGCATTGCTCCGGGTGTGTGTGTGTGTTCACTGCTGTGTGTGTGCACTTTGGATGGGATAAATGCAGAGCACTAATTCCGAGTATGGGTCACCATACTTGGCCACGTCACATCACTTTTTTTTTTTTTTTTTATATGGGTGGTTGAAATGTCAAGTGGAGCAGTGACAGCAGTGTCCTGCGGTGTAACTTGCAATTTTAATGGGGTTGGGCATAAGGATCTTCCCCCTCGGTCCGTTCGCCGTGGGGCCCGGTGCAACCGCACCAGTTGCACCCCCCTAAGGACGGCCCTGGGTCTCGGAAGCAGTTGATATTGGATTGAAATGGGGAAAAAAGTGATAAAATATAATTATTGTTATGATATTAACAATAAAAAAAAGTATTATTTCCTTTTTTTAAATAATCATTATGAGTTATTATGATAATTATTATTTATGCCATCATGTTAATTGAGACCACAGGGAATATTCATGCTTTAAAAATTAATTTTTCACACCGTAAGTGCATTTAAGTGAAGGCTAAAATGGTGATTTAAAAATAGTAAATAAATGTATTAATTAAAAGGGGACAAGCCACAGCACCTGCGATATACTTATCTTTGATAAATCATGCAGTTTCCTCATTAGTGCAGTGCTAATTCAATAGTCTTTCAGCCTTCAAACCGAGCCTCTCAGTGAACATCATTAGTCATTTTACTGTCTTTTCCAGAGGCATTTCCTTTGGCCTCAGTGTTGTTCAGATCTGAAAACTTTCCTGGTCACCAAGACAACTAGTGAGAGGATAACAGGAAGTGTAGAATAAAAGAGCAATTCAGTAGCTGCTTTTGTACACCTTGTGCTGGAGCACATCAGCATCAGACTGTGGCCTGATTGTGAAACTTTAGGACGTTCCTGCTGTGGCTGATTCTCAATTTCTCAATGTAGAGTATATGTATGGAAAAAGAGAGCCAAATACATTTACATTTATGAAGGGATTTATAAGGTGTTTTGGGATCTGTTTTAGGACCATTAGGGGTTTTTTTGATACATGATTTCCATGTAATTTTTCTTGTTAGATTTTCATTACTATAAAAGTAATTTTTCTGTGTTAAAATAAATGCTGTAATTTAATGATTTAAAAAAATTGTCAGTGTAAATTAAACTCAGTAAACTCAAAAACAGAAAGAAATACGACCTGTAAATGTTCTTTCTAAGTTTTAACACTAAATCATGGTATTAGGCTTGTATGTTGAGATGAGTGTAACTGTTGCTCTATCTCTCTCTCTCTCTCTTTCTTTCTCTTCTCTCCTCTCTCTCCATGTCTCAGGCTAACAGACCTCCTGCCAAACTCAATCTTCTCACCTGTCAAGTGAAGCACAACCCAGAGGAGAAGAAAAGTTTTGACCTCATCTCCCGTACGGTTACACCCATCACCGTTACTTCACACACATTTATAAATCTGATATGGGAGCTCTGTAAAACTTAATTAAAGTTTGGCTGCTAAAGACGTAAATGAGAACATTGAGGGCAAAAATGTTAGAGCAGCAGTACAGAAAAAAGTAGGAGAATTAAGTTGTTTTGAGGTTTATATTAAGAGAATCCTAATCAACCAACGGAAAGTCTATTTTTGATCTTTTAAATGATCAGAAATATAATTAAAATGAATAAATTAGTAAAAAAAAATAAAACATATGTATATAATTATTTATATGTTGTATTTGGTTGTATTTGTTTTATCAGACATTAATTATGAATTTGTTTATATACTGTATAATTGGAGAGTTTGTAGGAGGAAAATTCCCCAACACTATATAGTATAGAGCCTTGCAGTTCTGTGGCTTGTAGAGTTTCGTTGTAACATTCAAGGCTACAGAGTAACAGTGTTGTTGTTATCTATGAGGAAGTAGTGGCTGAGGAAACACTGGCCCTGGCTGAGGGATTTTCTCCCATGTTCCTGTGCTTCCTTTAACATCTCATCTAACCACAGGAAACTAATGCCTGAGAGAAAAACAAGTTCAGTTTTATGTGTCCCTCCATGAGTGGGACTATTTGAGCTTATCTTGCCAGTCCCATCCTCTTATGTTTTTTCCAGTCTTCCTCATTCCAAATGAATTGTCACTGTGTCACTCTAGTTTTCCTCTCCGTTAACCAGCACAACTTTATTCATCAGACTATCAGTGGTGTTATTGTGAACTCGGCTAAAACCATTATCATCATTTTTATCAATTGAAATAAAGCTGAAATAAAATAAAATAGATGAAAAACCTAAACTTGGATATATTAGAAATAAAATATAAACAGAAATAAATACTAAAATTACTAAAACTAAAACTGAAAAAATAAAAACGAAATATTTAAAAAATAATACAAATGACAAAAGCACATAAAAATATTAAAACTTAAAATACAATTAAAAATGAAAATATTAAAAAAACTAGGGATGCACCGATGTATCGGCTGCCGATATTTATCGGCCGATTTTTGATTATTTTAAAGCCAGAAAAAAAGTCGGAAATAGCATGAAAAGGGCCGATATCGATGGTTTATTAATTAACTGCATGGAGACAACGAGTTGCATGTCTGTTGCATAATCCAGCGTTTTTCTCTGGGCAAAATAATTAAATACTTGCCAAAACAAAATAAAATCTGTACAAAATATAGTTTGTCAGACGGCATAGTACGGCCATATGCAAACGTGACGCTGACGCATCCAACGAGTGAAATGCACGCTCTCAGCTGTAAATTCATCATAGGTAATTCCCAATTGCAATTCCCCGGCGTTAGTTTATCCGAGGATATGTCACGAACCGCCAAGCATTAGGCCTACATTTAAGTGAAAATGAATGGCAGGTAATATGCAGCTTTTTGTTTGAAACCAGTGTAGAACACGGATTCACACAAGGTCACATCACGCACCTACAGCGTTTCTGTGAACGGAGAAAACAGAATAAAACTATATTGGCTACATAAAAAGGAATATATAGGCCTATAGACAAAATATATTTCACTTAAATCATTAACAGATTAACAAAACGAAAGAAAAAAATTGTGTTGAGTTTCGGATAATTGTAACGCGCTCCGAAGTTCACGGGAAAAAAATGAGATGGCAGAAAGCAGTTTTCTTTATTTTTTCAAAAGCCTTACAATTTTGAATGATGTTTTGCTTCCATCTCTGTGACAAGCCAGCATTGGTATGACCATAAATTACGGAGTAACAGTTGGGAAAACAATGTGTCGGTGCATCAGATTGCGTCGGTGCCTCATGAACATACAACAAATTTTTGCTAATTTGACATCGCAGCCTGTTCATTATCAAAATAAAATACAGTTAAAGAAACATAAAAAGTTACACTGCTCAATTTAAATAGTTCGTAGTACAGTCTGTGCCCTTCAGTGTGACCAGCCCACGCCTCACTGCTGATATAGCCTATATGTGAAGGATGATGTTTTACGTCGATTTTGAATGTAATAATAAAATGCAACGTACAGCCTACTAATTTAGGCAGTTTTTTTCCTCTCAAAATTAACGCTTATAGGAGTAGCGTTTTTTTTTTATCCAGGCTGAAATATTTTTAAATATCTTGAAAAAATTTGTTTTTATGTAATGTTTTTATTGCGTTGACAGTTTTTTCTTTTGTTTAATACATTTGGCCTTTGGTAAATCTAGAAAAGATGATGCTGTATTGGCTATGACTAAGAGACATAATTCAAGACTCTCTTCATGATTCTTTTTCTTTTTGAGTAAATTAAACGCTGTACTTTATTATTATTATTATTATTATTATTGGCAAAGAAAAAGTAAAAAAAAAATAACGTTATTAACCGGTATGTTTTCTACTCAAACCGGTTTCACAGAGGAACACAGGAACAGAAACAATCAAATACCGATTCTGCTCGGAGTGAACCAATCTTTTTTTTTCTTTTTTTTCTCGTTTTTAAGCCCTGCTTTATGCAATTGACCAATATCGGAATCGGCCAATACTTGTTTGTTAAAATCGGTATCGGCCAAAAAAAATCCTATCGGTGCATCCCTAAAAAAATATATAAATCTTTGAATCTAGTTTCAGATATTAGTAAATACTATAATAGTATATAATAATAATAATAAAATAACTACTTATTATTTTGCCCACAAGATTTTGTGGCAAGTTCCGTAAGACAAATTATGAATGTTATAAAAGCAAGTTAAGTTGGAGCAGTGTTGGGAAGGTTACTTTGGAAATGTAATAGGTTACGGATTACAAGTTATTAAAAATTTAACAAGTAGTGTAATTATTTCAATTATTTGATTAAAGCAATGTAACTGATTACATTTGATTACTTTTTGATTACTTTGCTTAATTTCTAACAATTTTTTTCAATCGTTAATAATTTTCAAAAATTTAAACCAGGCAAGGGTTAACCTTACAGAAGTACTTAACACTGATTATTGTCAGACTTTCAAAATCTTTCATCACTTAAGATTATAATAATTAAATTTTTAAGCATAGCCACCACAAAACTTTAGCACCTCTTTTTACTTTGAGATTTTTCTGAGATGATCTCAGACAGGTTGTAGCCTAAAGCTTTCAGCACCAATGTGGATTCGGCAGATGTGGTGTGCTGCAAATTAAAACAAGAGAACCAATCAAAAGGCTCAGAATAGCATCGCTTTACCAAATGGCCTTTAAATGGCAGGAGGCATCATGCACATCAAATCAGGAAAAGCAACAAATTTATATTATTCAACATATCCTTGCTTTTTACAGAAAATATTCAGATGTAACCTCCTTTGTGTTGGCACCAATAGCCTCGTGGGCAGTGCACCGACATATAGCGCCGTTGCACTTCAGGCGTCCCGAGTTCGAGTCCTGGCTCACAGACCTTTCACGATCCTGTCTAGCTACTATCCTATCAAAATAAAGGCAAAAACGCCATTAATAAATCTTAAAAAAAAGAAAATATTCAGATGTAATACCCTTTGTAATTGTTAACATTTTCATAAGTAACTAATTTAATTTAAAAAAAATTCCCAGTAACTGTAATAGATTACAGTTACATTTACTTTGTAATTAAATTACGTAATGCCTTTACATGTTGCTAGTTACTCTCCAACAGTGGTTGCCAGGACAACTGAAAAGGCCTGTGACAGCATTTAATACAAAGCACTGTCTATATACAGTGCATCAGGTGATGTAGGAAAGATAAAGATGTCACAATTTTGCAACGAAAATGTAACAATATTTGGGCCATGTCTGTTTTTTTTGGTACAGATCCATCTGAAAAGGGATCATTACTCAAGGCTAGAAAACACTACACAACTTTTGTTTTGATTTGCAGTCTGAACAAGTCAACTCTAGTTGCTAAAAGTCATATCCAGTCTGCAGATTTCAGTTAACAGATTTCACAGACAGCACATCAAGTTATGATGGGCACAGTAATATAGGAATGGACAAAATATAGGGCTCTAAACAGATCTATTATTGTCAAACGTTTACCTGTTTTCTCCAAGGTCTATTTGTGCTTTCATCTAATGAAGTCTTTCTGTTCTTCTTTCACTCTTAGATGACAGAACGTATCATTTCCAGGCAGAGGATGAGCCAGAGTGTCAAATGTAAGTGTGTTTGTCTGTGCGTCCCTGCTCTGTTTTCTGAGGAAACCTGTCGTAGGGACATTTTCTACAGTTTTAGGGAATAACTAACTGAAAGTACCAAAATACTGCAGCTCTTCCAGTAATTAGCTGTTTTTCCCCAACTGAGGGCAGCTGGACAGTCATCAAACTAGACTTGGAAAAATCTGATTCATTTAATCCGGTTCAAAAAAATCATCATTCGTTAGTGTTCCTTGAACTCCTTGCAAAGCACATCACTTCTTTTGTTTTGTAGTAAAATAAAGTTATTATTCTTCTGTATTTATTTATTTTTTGTATGAAATTATCTGTATTTATATATTAAGTTTGAAACTGTCCCTCTAATTAATATTCTGGTTATTTTTGTGACAGATAAATACTGCATAATTGTGGATAATCATTAATCATTGATAAAAATGGTTCCCCCTTAACTTGAACATAGTTAGCTACTTTTTGCTAGTTGCCTCTAGTGTAGTGAACTGCTGTTTGAGACTGTAGTTGAACTACTTTAAATTGAGTCGCTACAGATTCAAAGAATCTTCCCCAGCCTTGATTCCCTACAATGCTCTAAAAGCTGTTACTGTATCAGTGCTCTGTGTTTCTTACTCCTCATGATCTCTATGCGTCTCTTCTCTTCTCAGATGGATCTCAGTGCTGCAGAACAGCAAGGAGGAGGCGCTCAACAACGCCTTTAAGGGTGACCAGCATGTTGGCGAGAACAACATCGTGCAGGAGCTGACCAAGGCCATCCTCGGTGAGGTCAAGCGGATGGCGGGTAACGACGTCTGCTGTGACTGCGGAGCTCCCGGTGAGTGACCTGGAAACCGACAGGAAGGAGGAA